ACTACGCGCACTCCACGATCTCTTAAGAGAAAATAAATGGGACAACAAGACCAGACCTCTTTTATGTTCTAGAATTCATAATACTCCAAAACACGCCTGGTTCGTTCGACCCTTTTTGTCTTCAGACGCCGTGGAGCGTTCGCCCGAGTCCTTAGTATATCAGGGTTCTCTCGCTCGTTAGAACTCGATCGTTTCTTGTCTTTGGCGTGCGTTACAAGGACTGCAGCGTTTTTGGAACAACATTCATGGCGTCATCGTACGATTCATCTTCTTTACCTTTAGCCTGGTGCAGAAATAAAAGAAACAAAACAAAAAGGAATTTTATTTGAGCTAAGTTTACTTGGTGCCAAAGCACTGGCGCCCAGGCAGGGTTCTTTCAACTCTCTTTAAGACGGACACCACCTGTGTGACCAGCACTAAGTGTTCGTCTCGGGAAGAGTCAAGTAAAGTGAGTAAAGAAAGGCAGGGACAAAATAGTGGGTGCCAGCTTACTTTGGTAAAGATGATGGCGCTGAACCAAAATCAGATTTGGCGCACATAAAGAACTCTTTGTCCTTAACATTAGCATTTTTAAAGTATAAACTTTGTGTTAATAAGTCACGTGATATGTCACGCGACCATTTTGCTAAAAATCATAAATTATTAACCAAGTGGTGGCCGGTTTAAGACAAGAATTGGGCGATAACATTTTTCTAATTCATATTCACTATTCACATTTTTTCTAATTCATATTCACTATTATTTTGTTTAAGATATGATCCATTAATGATTTTTTGAAGGCAACATCATATAACTTTCATTTTCATAAAAATGATGTCACATGACCCCTCAGCGCAAATGGCCTATATCTCTCGCTATGAGACCTAGAACAAAATGATTTTCCCCAATAGTAAATCTTGAGGTTTTCTTCACGTTTAATTATGATCACGTGACATGTCTGACCAAAAATTGAAAATGAAAGAAATTGGCGAATTGGTGGCGAATTTACTTTGTTTGGATCAACAAATTGACATTTCTGAAAGACGATAAACATACCTAACTTTCTACGTTTGGAATGAATGTTTGCGAAGTTTAAAATTAAGTTTTAAATAATTCAAGATTAAATTTAGGCCTTTAAATTGATGTTTTGCCTCATATTTTTTTTGAAATGCAATGGACGTCATTTCAAACTTGAAGTGTTTTTCAAACCCGCACCATTTTCTTAAAATGAGGAAGTTCGTATAGCTGGTAAAGGGACCAAAATGTGATTTTTAAAACTATGAATTACCTCTTTCTGAACAGAAATTTGCACTTAAACTTCAAGGAAATTGTTGAAAAGATAATGTGGTAACGTTTTAAGCAAATTTGAGAACTGACAATTTGACTAACAATAGACGACTGTTTAACTGTGACGATAGACGGATCGAAACGCACCAGTTACTGATTACGAGTCTTCATAGCCAATAACATAACGGCTTAACTGACAGACGACCAATAACATCCGAACGTAATTGACCAATCAGATCAATAACCGGAGTATAATGCCATCAACTGACGTGATACAGCTCACTTTGACTTTGAAGATGACTACCGCACAAGTTGTCGAAACGCCAATCGCTATCAAAAACAACAGTCCTATTCAGGACTACGTTCACCCGGACGATCAAATTCACCTACTTTTTTTGAAATGACTCACGCCGT